GGGTGCTTCTCAAGTGGGCACTCAAATACCAATGTAGCAGCACGGTAAGGGGCAGACTTTCTGAAAAGTAACTTAGTGTTTACACTGAGTATTTAAGCTTTCAGATCATTCAACTCAGAAATTCCACTCCTCGGAATTCACAAAGGACATCAGAGCTTCGTGAGATATCTGCACACAAGGATACCAGGGAGGGCACTCCTTCCAGGAGCCAGAACGGGGAGAGCTGCACATTTAACGGCAGAGCAGGACTAACCACACACCCAGATGACACCCGGTCATCTGCAGCTGCTAAAATATTAAGTTTTTAATGACAAAGAACATTTATGGAAAATTTGTATCATGGTTTCAATTATGGTACAAAAAAAAAAAGGCATGTGTGAGGAATACAGTGAGTTTTCTTTACTCTTCTATGTTTTCCTCTAGATTATTACACAGTCCTTACAACAAAAACAAAAGGATGAGATGTGAAAGAAAAAGACTCCGGGCCTTTAAGGATGACAAAACCAGGCCACCCCTCCCCCCACTGACCTGACGGCCTGCCACTCCCCCAAACCAGCAGCCAAACCTCTCAGACCTCCAACTGAGAAAGAAAGAAAAAGACAAAAGAAGACAGGAGCCTCACAGGCCCCCGGGGTGGGAGCTGGGCCTGGTGACCCCCAGGGCTCTCTCTCTAACCCAGGAGCACAGTCCCCACAGGAGAGCTGGCCCCACGCAGCACGGCGGGCCAGCCCACTCCGCACAGCCCCAGGTCTTACAAGTGAGGTGCCGGAAAGGGCCAGGAAGCCCAGGTCTGGGAACTCTCAGGGGCTTTAAACAAAACATGAGTTACAGAGATAATTTCACAAGCCGAAGAACCACTTAAAATAATTGTCAGTAAGCTATTTAAAAGTTTGCCTTCTTATGCATTTGCCTAAAAAGTTTTTCTTGTTTTGAATATGAATGAAAATCTAATTCTGAACATCTCTTCCTTTTTAATGTTTATTAATTTATTTTGAGAAAGAGTAATAGAGAAATGGAGAGAGAGAGAGGGTGAGCTCAGGGGCACAGAAGCACAGGAGAAGGGCAGAGAGAATTCCAAGCAGGCTCGTGCTGTCAACACAGAGCCCAACGCAGGGCTCAAACTCACGAACTGTGAGATCATGGCCTGAGCGGAGATTAATTGTAAATCAAGAGTCGACACTTGACCACTGAGCTGCCTGTGCACTCCCTAATTCTGAACATCGTGACCTCAGATTCCCTTTGTCCCCAAGCAAGGCCTCCGTAGGTGATTCAGGACATGACGACAGCCTAACCAGGTCCCCTTGGTGGCCAGGCCCCACTCACGGGTCCCAGTCATGTAATCTGGGTAACATCTGTCCTGCTGTAGGCAAATATGGGTCTTGTCCCTTGACTGCACGTAAGAACAGATTGTGGAGGCAAGCTGGACAGTGTCGAGTGCCACAGAAAGAAGTGCTGTAGAAATGCCCAAGCTGGCTAGGCCTACTGAGGGGCCCGAGGCCCTCCGGGCCTGGCACTGTACTCAAGGCTGCCTCAAACCTGATGCACTAGAGGACTCACGGAGGGGCACAGCTCCTGGAGAGGGTAAGGGCCAGAAGAGAACAGTCTAGTTGGCACCAACATGTGGGCAGGACCCACTCGTCATCTGGCTAGTGCCAACCTGCTGTGGGCAGGCCAGTGTGGCAGACAATGGGCACCCAATGGTGTCTAAGGCAACAGGGTGCTGCCGGCGAAGGCTTCCTGGAAGAAGGGGCATCAGGGCTGAGGCTGAAGGGAGAGGAGGAGCCGCAGCAGTGGGAGGAGAGGACAGCGTGCTGGGGCACAAGGTAGCAACAGCTGAGCTGAGAGTACTTAGCTTTCTGCGACACAGACAAGAATTCAGGACAGTGGGGCGTGGGTGACCAGGACTGAGAGGACACAGGCCACCCATGTGAGGGCTTCTACACAGCAACATCACAGATTGTGGGGACCTCACCAGAAGCTCCTGGCGGGAGGGGCTGCTGCACAGAGGGCCTGGCTGAGCCGAGGACCCCAGGGAGGCAGCCTGGAAGCTATACCTGGGACCCAGATGCCCGTGGTGCCTCCATATGAAATCCACACAATTTCAGGAACATTTGCTGGGCAATCCAGGCAAGGTCCTGGCTGTGTCTCCTCCTCTGTCCCCTTCAGGCAGATGGGGAGAGGCAGGAGACACATTCTGGTCCTTAGGGGCACCACTGTGAGTATCTGAAGTGACATGGAGCACTTCAGATAAACTGAAAACTGTATTCTGTGGAAGTGTGTCTGCTCCTTGAAGTCTGTCACCTCAACACCTGCCCAGCTTAGACACCCCCCTCCCCCAAGGCGGACACAGTTCTGGAAACCCCCACTTCCCTGAGCCACAAGGCCCGCCTCTTCTGGGCCCCCCAATCCTGCAGAGACAAGTGCCAGGAGCTGTGAGAGGCTCAGAGGAATTTCCAGAAGCACACCTCACGGCAGAGAGGTACTCACACAAGCCCTGCACCATGCCTGGCCCTGGACACCAGGGAGGAAGGGTCCTCACCCTAGCCCAGGCACCCAGGGGCCTGTCAGGGCAGCTCTCAGGCCAGGCCAGCCCTCCCGGCCATGTGGTCACTCCCGCACCCTCAAGGCCATGGGGGAAGCAAGCCCTGGCTTGCTGGAGGAAGGCTGAGGGTGCAATCTGGAACTCCTGATAACAGAGATCCCATGGAATCTGGGCACTGATGAATTCATCCAGAGAGGTGCTGGGTCCTGGGGCTGGGGTGGGGGATGGGGGAACTGCATTTTGACCTTCGAAGCACCAGGGTCCTGCCCCAGATGAGGGCAACACTCAGCAGGTGAGCCTCAGTCAGATGGGCTTATAAATGCACAAAACCAAGACTACCCCGGCCTCTCAGGGAAGCTCATTAAAGAAGCAATCTACCTAGTGCCTGAAACAGAAATGAAGGGGGTGGGGGAGCGCACACAGAACATGAGGCTCTGTCACCTGCCTCGCGGCACAGCCCACTCCAGAGTGGACAGCTGGGGAGAGCCTCCTGCACACCCTGGAAACCCCTCCTCCCCCAGCCTGCACCCTGCTGAGCTCAGCACCTTCCTGGCAGAGGGGCTGGCGGCCCATCATAGCAGGAGCAGCGGCTTCTCTTCTTGCTGCAGACACCCACCCTGAGGAGGGGGTGCTGGGCCTCCCTCGTGCAGCATGGGGGGCCCATCTGTTCCACATGGTCCCCCAACTCTTGTCTGGAAGGGCGGCTGGGCCTCCTGCTCTAGTGTACAAACTCCAGGGGAGGGAGGTCAGGGCCTGTCCTGCTGGTGACCCGAAGGGAAACAGCCTCAGGGAACAGGGTACAGGAAGAGCTACTGGGTTGGACAAACTCGATTCAGGCCTCCAGGCCGCCCCCAACACAGATTCTGCACACTGTCCCCTCTGGGCTTCCCCCAAGCTGATTCCCTCTAGCACACAGGACAGTGCCTACCCCATGCCCACTCCCACGGGCAGGGAGGAGGCCTATTTGGGTTGTCAGTGCCCCGTTCTTAGAGCCTATAGCCCCGGCGGCGTGTCAGCAGCTGCAAACCCCAGACCTGGCTCAGTCTAGCACAGAGTGGCTGGACCACACCAGGAAAGTATACCCGTGTTCAGACCAAGTGCTGTGCAGGAAGCAAGGATTTAAGGGCTTTGGAATGGGAGATCTGTAACCATGGGGGCATCACCTCTTGGGCTCGGAGGTGCCAGGGGCCGGGGGCAGGGCAGCCAAGGCAGAGTAAGATGACTTGTGTCCTCCGCCCTAGTCTAATTTCCTGACAGTCTGGAAAAACCACGGGAAAAGCACTGAAGAACCTAGAAGGAGAGCAATGCCACAGACCACGTTCATCTCTGGACTGGCCAGACACCCAACCTTTATCCTCCAAACCTCCAAACAAGAGGGTTCCTGTACCCTCCAGACCCAAAACGGTGACAACATAACAACTGTACAGGTCACAGAAGCTCCCCCACCCCCAGCCCGTGTGTAAGTGCAGTCCTCGGGCAAACATGGAAGATAAACAAAAGGCAGGCAAAAAGACCTCACTCCGGGCGCTCCCTGGCCCAGACATCTTGGGGCAAAGGCCCCTTGGGCACCAATATGAATGGGGAAGAGAAACCACATTTTAAGCCCTGGAGACCCAGCTTGCCCACCAGGATTGTGGCTACAAAGTGCTTCCAGGAAAGCTGTCCCACAGAGGTCAGCCCAGTGTCTCTAACCTCCACAAAAATGAGGGGCTCTGAAGGAAAGTGCGTGACTGCACCGGTGCCCCTGACCAACTCCGCTCCCCTAACCTGGCTGTTCCTGTGCTAGCACTCTTTCAGAGGGATTTCCAACTGGTTCTGGCCTCCCCGCCCCCAGCCCCAGGTCACACTCAGGCCTTTGTTCTACCTGCACACAGGGGCAGGCAGAGCCAACCCCCTTCCCTGGGAGCTCCTCCCCGACCCTCTCAAGGCAGTCTGGGGGTCTGGGGGCCTCACAGGTGCAGGGGGAAAGGCACTTCACTTCTCTCACTTCTGCTTTGGGTATGCGAGCGGCCAAGGTAAGCGAACACTCCAGGTGGGCTACACACGCAAAGGAATCCACTTTCCCGCCCGACGACGCAAGGCCAGCCTGGACCCACAGCTGGGGCCAGCCAGATTTTACACTCGCCCGCGATGCAAAGCAAGTGATGTTCCCAAGGCAGTGGCCGGTGACCCGAGGGGAGCCCAGGCTCTGCGCAGCCTGCGAGGCGGGAGTGGTGGAGGAAAAAAGTGGAGAGGCGACGAGGAGGTGAGAATAGAGGGCAGGGGGACTACGGGCCGGCCCGCAGAGAGCAGACTGGGAGCCTTGGGCGCCCAGCAGGTCGGGAGGTGGTCCATATGCGGCCCACGGGGAGGACAGGAGAGAAGGACGGCGAGGGCAGAGCGGGCCGAGGACAACCCGGCGGGGGCACGGCCCGGGGCCGCAACCGCAGGCCGGAACCCGGCCGCTCCGGGCGCTCACCTGGGCGTGCGCAGCGCGGCGGGGTCGCGACGGTCCAGCACGCCGGGCACGCAGTTGGTGAGCTCGGTCCAGTCGGCGTGCAGCCCGCAGCTCCAGCCCGTAGAGAAGCGGGAGAAGAGCCAGGTCTCGCGGCGGTTGGGCCGGTAGCAGGTGCACTTCTTCTGGCCGGGCCGGCAGTCGCAGGGCACCTCGAGGCGCACGTTCTGCACGAGGTGGCGGCCGAAGGTGGTGCCACCGGTCTTCTGGATGTGCAGGAAGACGATCACGTCGTCGCCCTTCATGTCGAAGCGCAGCGAGCGCTCCAGCTCGCGCACCGGGAAGTAGTACTTCTTCTCGTAGTGCGGGTCGGGCGTGGGGAAGAGGTCCAGGTCGTCGGGCGGCGCGCGGCCGCCGGGCGCGCCCAGGCTCAGCCCCGGGCCCGCGTACTGGTACAAGATGAGCATGAAGCACGCTGAGCCCGCCACCACCAGCACGAACTTGCTGGCGCGCTCAACCATGGTCCTGCCGCCGGCGCGCCGCCGCCGCATGTGTCACCATCGCCGGCGGCCCGGGCGCGGGGCGCGGGGCCTGGGAGGGCGGGGGGCGCGGGCGCAGCTGCCTCCGCCGCCGCCTCCGCCCGCGCTCCGGCCCGGCCCGGCTACTCGGCGCCCAGGCCGCCCGCAGCGGCGCGGGCCCCGGCCCTGCGCGGCGCCATGGCTGCTCTCCGCCCGGCTCCCCGGGCCCGACCCCGGGCTCGGCTCCGGCTCCGCTCCGGCCCCGGCCCCGGCCCGCGCCCCCTGCGGCCCGCCGCCGGCCGCTCCGCTCCGCGCCGCGCCGAGAACGCTCTGCGCCGCCCCGCGCGCCGCCGCGTCTCCGCAGTCCGCTGCCGCCCCGCCCCGGCCCGCCCCCGGCCCGCCCCCGCGGCGCCTCTTGCGGTCGCCGCCCGCGCCGATTCTCGGCTCCGCCTCCCGGAGCTCGCGGGGCCTCAGGCCGGTGCTGGGTGCGGGACCCGGTCTCCGGCCGTGGCCGGAGCGCTCCGAGGCGGGCCGCCGCCGACCGGGAACTGATTCCTGTCCGAGAGGCCAGGGGAAGCGACTGTGGAATCGGGGAGCAGGGGCGCGGGAAGCCCTTTTGGGCAGGAGCGGGGAGCGAAACGGCTGGCACCTCTGGCGCTTGGGTCCCCCTCCCTCCAAGTCCAGGCTGCGTGTGGAATACCCTCTTCCGCGCTCCTCCGGAGGAAAGCCCCTGACCTTGCACGCAGGGCGCTCCGAAGTTCCAAGTGCGAGAGGACCGAGCTGTGATTGGTGCGCCCTGGGGGCGGTGGGGCCGGAGCGGGAGGAAGAGAAGGGAAGGCTGGGGTGCAGAGTTCTGGGCGCGATTCGGACCCCTCTACCTCGTGGCTTTGGGACCATGACCGGGGCTCCCTCGTGGCGAGGTCCTGAGGTGTCCGCAGAGGACTTCGGCCCAGCTTTATGCAGTCCCTTCTTCCTTGAAAGGAGTTTTAGACAGTGTGCATTTTTTCCTCCATGTTTATTATAACTCCAGTGAAAAAGTTATGAAGAGTTGAGGCCATATGTAAAATTGTGAAAGTCCACAAAAATATTTCAATTTTGAGCTTTGGTAGGTCGGTCAGAAGGTCCGGCAGCCCTGGGCCTGTCGTGTTCAGTGGTGCACTTGTGGGCGCTTCGGCCCTCCCTGCCCTGTAGTCCGTGATCTGCTCAAGCCTCTGGCTTGGGCCACGTGCAGGGCTCCTCATCAGACAGCCCCCACTTGCGCGCCCCCCCCTCCCCCCCATCTAGCCCCAAACTCTCGGCCCTGGCCTTGACCTCGCTCAGGCGGTGCAGCGCCTCCACGCAGCAGGAGGTGAGCTGGGGTGTGAAATGACCTGTCAGAGCTGGGGTGGGTTCTGACGCGGGGCTACCCTGGTTTGCTTCTGTTGGGGCTCCTTGAAAGCATCGCAGGGTTGTGGGGGATGGGAGGGTTGTGTCAATTATACCTCAGAAAACTGTTACAAAATAAATCGTACCGGAAAGCCATCTTGGAAGCAAACCCAGACAACTGGAAAAACAACCACCAACCCCCCCCTACCCCCAATCCAACTAAGAGGGAGGCATGCTGTTTTCAAAAGGGGCTGAGGGAGCACCAGCTGTAGACGGTCTGATGCAGACCCTGAACACAGTACAGAGTGAGCCTGAGCGGCTGGGGGCGGGGTGGGGAGTCTGGGTGTGACCCCCCGGGGAAGGCCCAAACTGAAGCTTCTGTAAAACTGACCATCGCCCGGAGGCCGGGAGTATTTGGGCCAGACTTCCTCAGTGATGATTCGTTATTGCCAGAAGTGAGGGCTGGCACGGTGCTGTGCCCGGAACTGCCTGCCTCTGCTTGCCAGCACGGGTCCCTGAGGCCTAGGGAGTCTCCCTTCATGGGCTTGAAGGCAGCGGCCCAGATATGGAGGTCAGAGCTGCCCTGGGTCAACCCCCTAGGCACCCTTCCCCAGTGACAATCCTCTACCAAGTGGTAAATCATAATGAAGCCAGCTCATTATCCAGGACTACTGAGTACTAGGTGCTGTAGGTGTGTCATTTCCAATTCAACTGGCAAGCCTGTAAAGCAGACTATAATACCCATTTCACAGAATAGGAAACTGAGGTTCAGAGGAGTGAAGACCCTGGGCAAGGTCACATGGCTGGTTGGCAGTCTCCTCTCTCCGGTGCTACCTCTTCCTGCCCCACAGCCACAGGATGGACAGAGCCTGAAGAAAACACTGCTGGGTAGGCACCCTCATCCCTTGAGGCCCCAGTATCTGAGCCTCACACAGAGACCACAGGGTGGGCCAAGTTCCTCTCACTCCTATGAAAGTCAAGGTTCTGATCTGGCGCTATCTGGCCTCAGAGTCCAGCCCTTATTCACCCTTGTAGTCACCTCAGCTCCCCTAGGCCAGGTGCTAAGGCTGAAGGGGAACAGTGAGAGGGTCTAGAAAGGCACTCCTCAGCTGCCGGATGGGGATGTGGGTGCAGAATGTTCAAGAGAGAGGGGTAGTGTTACTGAAAGGTCACTGACCCAGTCTGTGTTTGGCCTGGAGTTCCATCTTGCGAGTGATGGAATGGGGAAACAGGCCTAGGGAGAGAGAGAGAGGAAAGGGCTCACACGGGGTCCCCAGTTGGTGGGTGCCCCTCCTGTGAGCTGTGATGGGGGCCAGAGCAGCTCCCTCCCTAGGGGAGCTATGTAATTCAGCTTCTTACTCTCCAGACTAGGGGACAGGGAGCCCCCACTTAGCCAGGAAGCCTTTCATTCCTAGATTATCTAGGAGGAAGAAAAGTTTTCCTAGTTGCCTCCAGGATTTTACTCCATTTTCCCCTCTCAGTTAAGTGCTGCATTTGCCCTGTGAGACCCCAAGGCCTTAGGTGTTTTCGTCATATCTCAAAGTCAAGTCGGATGAGCCACTGATCGAAAAGTCATGTTACTTCAATGAATCAGTCCACATCTGGGAGCAGAATGGAACGCCGACTGCCTAACCCTTGCGAGCTGGGGGCTTCATTAGCCGTGGGTATCATCCCCACGAATTGGCAGAAACACACACATTAAAAGGCAGGTGTGTGTCAGCGGGCCTGGATGGCTTAGTCAGTTAAGGTCTGACTCTTGATCTCCCATCAGGTCATGGATCCTCCATAACAGTGCGGGGGTGGGGGGGCTGCGTGAGATTCTCTCTCTCCCTCTGCCCCTCACCCCCAAGGGAAAAAAAAGGGAGTTGTGGATTTCAAGTGAAGTCCTCGCACAGCCAAGGCCTGGCGCTCAGTGGGTCCTGTGACTTGCTGTCTGTGTTCTTCCCCCTGTTTGACCTGCGGGTAGCCAACGTCCCCCACAGTCCTAAGATTGCCGCTGACTATAAGGAGGGCTAATTGTTTGCTGGCAGCAGCGCCCAGCCCTGAGTGTTTTCAGAGTTCAGGGAAAAGCAATTGCAACTCTTCCGCTCTGTGATTATCTTTGTTCTCTGAATATCCACTTCATAAATTCTTTAATGTATGATCTCTGACTTACTGTGGAAGAAAAAGAAGAGAACACGGCTAGTGGTAGGATGCGATGATCAAATAAAAGCAAGTCATTGTACTTCGGCTCCGGGAAAGTGCAAGCCGCGATACGATTTCGGCTTTGGTAATGAAATGGAATTCCTTTTGAATCTAAAGTAGCCTCAGAACCCAAACGCAAGCTTTCCTCCCCTACTCGCCACGCGCACGCAGAGTCTGAGAACCAGGAGATCAACCCGCGACGCTCCTCCCCCCCCGGGCGTGCAGTCCCAGGCGAGGGCGCGCGGGGGCAGCACCGCGGCCGCCCGCAGGCCCGGCGCCCAGCAGTTGACATTGCAGGACTGGGGGATTTTCCACACTTGATTCCCTCGTTCTTTTTCGTCCGGTCGCCCATTGTTGTTTCCGAAGGGGTGGAGGAGGGCAGCCGCGCCTGTCCTCAAAGCCTCCTCCGGGGATGGCCCCGATTCCCACGGCGGGGCGTAGAGAGGGGTTTTGTTTGGGGACAAACTTTTAAAGGGGACTTTGGATCGCGGCGGAATTAGACCCGCTGGAGGGGCCAGCCCCACGGACGCGAGCGACCTGCGCAGACCCCCGTGGCTGGCCAAGGAGGACCTGGGGAGGGGGCGCCAGGGCCCCGAGCCGAGCGACTCATGATCACTCTAGTTGAACCTTGGCATCCTCCTCTACGGAGGCCCATCTCTCCTGGGGTGTCCACACTCACCCCTCGGTGCCTCCTGCCTTTGGCCCCACTCTGTATATCCCCTACCCCAGTCTCCTGGCGACTCCTATCTACCTAAGGCCTCCTCCTCCAGGAAGCCCGCTCCTTCCCACAGCAGACGTGTCCCTGTGACCGGGTGCCTGTCCTTATGTAGTACCACTGAGTACTACACTGAGTACCACTAGCACCCCAGGCTCTGCAAGGTACCCAGTTCCCTCCACCCCAGCCCTGCACAGAGGTCTGCCCGAGGTCTTCCATGGTGGCTGTCTTGTGGGTTGAAGGACTCAGGCTTAAATAGGCCACCTGAGGAACCGGGATGCCCGCTGCCCCCAATTCCACCTGACCTTCAGAGGGGCGCCCTAGAGCAGCCGTCTCTAATCCTCACTGCCTGTCCTGAGCCAGGTGGCCTGCCTTGTGAGCCGGCAGTGGCTGGAGGGGGGAGCACAGCCCTCCACAGCAGGACCCTGCAGGTGGCTCCCTCCAGCTCCTCCTCCCTCTGTGTGGTCCTAGGCTGGCTTTTAAGGCCCCCTCAAACCGTTCTGGAAAGATGGTGAGAGTATAAATAGATTAGTGAGAAGCTGAGCAATTCAGGTGGAAATGACACAGCGCTGGTCTTCCACCTGTCCCCAGGAGCAGAGCTTTACGACCTAGCTGTGGCCCTCGCGTGCCCCTCCACAGCCCTTGCCCTACTGGACCCGGTGACTGTCCACCCTGGCTGACCACTCACTCAGCCCCGCCCTTTCTGGCTCCCAGGCCTGCTGCCCAGTGCCGACTCCTTGCCCAGCCGTGGGGCCCTGTTCTGCATCTCCCTTCCCACCTGGACCACAGAGAGAGCAGGCAGCGAAGGCCCCTTCCTCCTCCGTGTGTCCCTGCTCTCGGGGTTACTGACAAGACAGCTCCTGAACCCACAGCAGCAGGTTCTGCGAGCCTGGCGAGGTGGACAGGCATAACGTTAGCCCGAGGGCATTGCCCTCGTTCTCACACTTGGAACTTCTCCCAAAGGGACACACCTTTAGAAATTCCAGAGCTGCGTCAGCCTGGCAAAGCC